AGGTCCGTCGTGAGCAGCGGAGGTCGGTCGCGGTCGATGGCTCCCCGAGAATCTCTCGGTGCCGGCTGGAGCGGGATCGAAACGCGATCCGCCTCAGCACTGCCCGCGAGGTCCCACCTGGGTCGCCAAAATGTTAGCGTAGGAACAAACACATAACCACCGGAATGGTTATATGAGGTGCTTTATTGCAGCGCTGGGAAACCAGGGGCACGCACCCAAATCTGGTTCCAACCTCGTCACATCGCGTTCGCAATTTATGCACATTTAGCACGGGTTACAACATCAGCTAATGCATATGCATTAAGGATTGCCACATCATAAATGTTATGACATCAGCCTCTTCTACGCTTGCGCAGCCCCCTCTGGTGGTCGTTCCGATGAAGTAAGGAGTCTTCCTCAGATGAAGTAAGGAGTCTTCCTCAGGTTGTCCTCTTCACCTTTCCCTTACTGGGACATATTCCAACCCATGTGTGGATGCTAGTATTTTCTTACCAGCTTCTGGTATGCTCTTTTGGCTTTCTTAACTCTAGGTTCTACTTGGGTATAGTCTCCAGTGCATACTTTTCTAAATCCACCCGTACACCTTTCACCATATATGGTTATGCTGTTAAGACTACCATTGGAACACTGGTTACAGAGCAGCCATGATACAAAACTGCAAAGTTACAAAATTTTCTAATATACAAAATCCCACTATTAATATATAAATTTCTCAAACATAATCATTTCTACTATCTTATACAATTGTTTTATCATAAAAACTTCGCCCTTTTCCAACACATGGAGATGCTGTGAGGGCTGGAGCAGCTCTGCTCTGGAGCCAGGCTGAGAGAGCTGGGCTGGGGCAGCCTGGAGAAGAGAAGGCTCCTGAAGGGGAGACCTGAGAGCAGCTCCAGTGCCTAAAGGGGCTGCAGGAAAGCTGGAGAGGGGCTTGGGACAAGGGCCTGTAGGGACAGGCCAAGGGGAATGGCTTGAACCTGCCCGAGGGGAGACTGAGCTGAGCTCTTAGGCAGAAGCTCTTCCCTGTGAGGGTGCTGAGGCACTGGCACAGGGTGCCCAGAGAAGCTGTGGCTGCCCCATCCCTGGCAGTGCTCAAGGCCAGGTTGGACACAGGGGCTTGGAGCAAGCTACTCCTGTGGAAGGGGTCCCTGCCTGTGGCAGGGGGGTGGAACTGGAGGAGCTTTAAGGTCCCTTTAACCCAAACCAGGCTGGGGTTCCGTGATTCTAGAGGAAGGAGAAATGTGGGGCAATTTGCTGTCTGCTTTGCAGTTGGTGATGGGGACATATGGGGATGGGGACATATGCAGATAGCAGCAGTGTTGTGGCTGTGTATAGCAATTCTTAAGCCTTAAACCCCCCTAATTTCTGAAATACTTGGTGAGAGGAGTATATAGAGGTAAAGGAAGCCATGATTCCAGGAAAAATCCCAGTGGTGATAGGGATGGTTAACTCTGGATGCTGTGGGTAAATTGAGGTGGTTTGGTTTATGATGTTCTGTTCCAGGCCCTGCTTCATTGCACTTTGATGCTTAGTTTCAAAATCGTCTGTTTTAGTCAATAGTGAACTGTTTTAAATTTGTAATCCCTTGGTTGACTTGTACCCTGGGCAGAAGAACCATTCCCAGATGGGGATAATATAGATGAGATAGGTTAAAATTTGCTAAATGGCTGCATTGGGACTAATCAATATTTTTGAGCTTTTCTGCCATTATTTTCTTGTTTAAGGATGTAATTGTGTTATCTTTTCCTGGTTCAGCTAGTGCCAAAGTAGATAGACCTGGAAGCAAATTCCTCTTCCAGCTCAAGGACATGCAGGGTTTTAGGAAAGTGCTGGGATACCTGCAAAGAAGAGACCTAAACTGCAAAGGGCCAGAAGGATGCAGGCAAGGCCTTTGTTTGAGACAAGGGAGAGCAACAGTTAAAGGAAAGCTGCTTAAATAAAAAGCTGGAGAAGCAAGGAAATTAATGTAGGAATGCTGAGGGCATGTGAAGTTGGAATAATCAGGGTTGTACTGCAGTTGGTGATCAAAATGAGTGTAGTCAGCACTCAGCTCTTATAGAAGACTGTTAGAAAAGCCTGATTTATTGGGAAAGACAGCCTGTTTCTAGTCTTGTGATAATTATATAGTAGTAAGTCAAGGTACAGGGTGTGCTCTCCTGCTGCCTGCTTGCATCCCCTCTGCCACTCAGTAGAAAACCACCTCATAAGAGTATTTGTATTACACAGAGCAGACACACAGCAATAGGTCGGGTGGGGATTGGATTTCTTCAACAGCATCTGCTCCTTAGCAGGAGCAGGCCTGCATCCACATGCACACCTGAAGGAAGGGTTACAAATTGGAGTTAAACATGACAAACTTCAGGAAATGGTGATATGCAATAGTGATATAATACTGATGGGGGATGCTGCAATCAGTATTGTTGCTTTAGCTTTCAAAATGTTTCTGTTGGGGTTTTTCCTGCTTGTAAGGGGCAACAATGGCTTCTTGCCATTGCCTGAACTGTTCACACTTGGAGCTTCTCTGAAGGCCGTAAGTTTTCCTGTCAGCTGCTAAATAGCTGCAGCATGACACAGGTATTCTTGCATTCGTGATGAAGATTGTTTTACTGAGTGCATTAAAGTAACTTAACAATTGCCAAACACTGCATTCTCCTGTGAGACTGAACTGCACCTTAGTTACCTTTTTGAAGGACTTTCTTCAGGTTTTAGTTTCTAGAGAGCAGCCTTGTCTAGGGAGGGTCTGGTCTTTATATATCCTGATAGAAAAAAAACATGATTGAGAGCATGGAAGTGGGACTAAAGATGGAGTGATGCAAAAGCAAAGAAATCATTAACAATTCAACAATTCCTTTTTTTGTGTAGTGACAGCATGAGAGTTTTGATCTGAAAAGGTCTGTGATGCTCAAACTTTGGTAATCAGTTTATGCACAAAGCTGTTAAACATAACCAGTGGATAAAAGCAGATATAGAGGTGTATGTGTGTAAAATAAGAACTCTAAAGGCTCTCTCTGTGTGTCTGTAGATATACCTGAATGTCCAGTTTTGAAATTGGAACAGGTTAGACCAGTCCCATCAGAGCTTTGCTCATCTATGAGTAGCATGGAGCAGGTTAAATGGTTGAAGAAGGAAAGACAGAAATCGTACTGGTGATCCTACAAAGCATCTGGTAATTAAAGGAGGGTTTGATTTCCCTTCTCCATGAGTTTTCTTGTGTTAAGAAGTGCAAATCTGCTTACAGAAGTTTATGATTAAGTCAGATGATGTATTAATTTTGTCAGTTCAGTCACAGTGGGCCTGAAGCAGGCTTATTATCAAAGCTAGACACAAAAAGGAAGTAAAATGTTGCATATTCAGGGTATAGATTCATATATTCACAGAGATTGATTCCCATGTAACTTAAATTAACATAGAACTTTTAATTGGGAGAATTTACAGCTATATCAGTGTATGTACTACTGCCCAGTGGTGTGACCCCTTTCAGCATCACAGGGAGGGTGTATCTTGACCAACTGCTGGACAAGTTCTTTTTCTTACAAATGGCCTCAGAAATTGTTTGGAACCAAGTTTAGGGGTAACTTTGTGTGTGGTTGTACAGTGAAAATGTATCTAAAATATCTGTAAGTTGCCACAAATTTAGATAGAGTGAGAAAATTCAGCATATATGGCACGTAAAAAAAATGTATCCTGATTTTTGTCATAATGGACCTGAAAGCACACTGGGCTTTGGTGGGGATAGAAACTGTGGGCAGAGTTGTGGCTCAGACCCCACACAACAAGAACAAATGTGTATTTCCAGTGCTGTAATTAACCCCTAATGCTGACACAGTTCAGGACTGTAGCCAGCTCTTGTAGATTCTTTTTCACCATGAGACCTAACAGCACTTTCTAACAAGATGAAGCAGGACACACACTGATGCCCATCCTACCATGGATACCCTTTAAATAAACAGTTCTGGAAATCTTTCTCCAACACCACCAGTAAATGTGATGCACTTTTATTGTACTGGAGTTGTATGCACAAACTGGAATGTTTTGTTACAGATATTGTTGCAATTCTTGTGACTCAGGAAAGGAAATGAACCAGTAATACAACAAAAGATACAGAATGTAGAGCCATACATAATCACAATGCCCCAACACAGTGCTTAAATAATTAAAGAGGGAATCATCACTGATGTTTTGGGATCATAGTGAGTGGAAGCATCCCCTGCCCTGTTTTGAGGAACAAGGTTAAGTCTTTGAGGAAAGAATTGTAGGAGTGGATGTGCCATTCTACATGTTTTAACTTTACTACAGCTTCTTCAATCTGAAGTAAGCACAAGAAAGGAACTGCTGTTGTTGGTTGGGTTTTCTGAGGGTACTGTTCTTTTGAACACTTAAATATCCTTGCAATAAATTGCATATAACTGTTTCTGGTAACAGTTAAGTATCCAGCAACACTTAGAGTTACTTTTTAAGTCCAGGTGAATAAATACATGTGTAAAGGAACATGTTCATTAATGCTGATTTGGGTGATGGTTATCACTGTCCATCTTTGGTGCATGAAGTCACTCAGTTCCAGTTTTGGGAATCTTGAGAGCTATTATCCTGGAAGTTCAGATGCAGCTCCTCTCCTGCTGTACCACTGGGGCTGCTTTTCCACTCGGTTACATCAACCTTAAACCAGCACAGTGCAGTAGAGAATCAAGACCTTCAAAGGATATTCCATCAGTTTGCAAGTAACCCATATCCTAATAGAAAAATGGGGGCTCAGTACACAGAATTACTTTGCCAATACAATCAGAGGATTTGCTTCTGCACTGTAGAGTAGCCCATCAAGTGATACCCCCATCAGGTACTCTTAAAATAGTGGCATTCAGCTATCAATAGTGAGTAGTAGCTTCTAAAAGCTTCTATTCCTCCCCCCCCCCCCAGTGGATCAGTGCTTGAGAGATGCCAGAGATACCCTAAAATCATAATCTGGAGCAGCTTTTTGGTTAAATATTATAACTGGTGTATGTAAACAAATCCAGCTTTTTGGTTAAATATTATAACTGGTGTAATTATCTCAAATTTAGGTTTGAATTTTAGGATCTTATTTTCTACTCATCCAACTGCCTTTCCCAAATGTTTCCTGTTAACATTCATCTGTGTTCTTGTTGGCTTTTATAGATGGCCAAGTAAAAGGATAGCAGCTTCTTATTCTGACAACCCTGATATTTTCAAGCAATTACAAATATAAAACAAGAAAATGTAAATAAGAGAAAGAGACAACCTGTATAGTAGAATAATATGGGGTTTCCAGTCGTTGATAAAAAATATGGGCTTCCAAGCTGCTACTAAACCCACATTCTCTGTGTGAGAACATTTGAAGTTACTTGGTGTTTGAAGTAGAACCTTTCCTATATTAACATACAAAAATATACATTTGTTAAAAAGGAACAAAAATAACTTACATTTCTGAGAAGCAAAACAAGGCCTTGTTGGACGGAAACTCCATTTGCTTCTGTTTTGTGTGAAGTAAACCTGCCAGCCTGAACTGGTGGCTTCCCAACCCTCTTCCTATGGATGCCTGTACAACACACTGGAAAGAGGGTTCCTTAAGTACCTTTTGTCCATGAATCCCTGTAACAGCAGTTGACAAGTACTGGCTTAAAGTCTACCCTCAGACATGGGTGATTTCTTTAAAAGATGGGTTACAACAGCATCTAAAGCCAGGTAACAAAGATGAGAGTTTCTGAATGTTCTTGCTGCATTGTGACTTCAAATCATACTCTGAATTTTAACATTTTGGCTTTATTCTTATTAGAAACTAAAAGGAGGCACTGATAAGTTATGGCTTGTTTGTGTCCAAGTCTCCTGTGCTTTGGCTTTCGGGGGTTTGACATGAGCCAAGGGAAGGAAGTATTCCCTTGACAGTAAGAAAGTTTTATCCTCTTTGTTTAAGGACAAACTAATATGTAAAGGGTAAAGTGACTAATTCAGTGGAATAACTTCAGTGAAGCTGAACACTGAAGAGGTAAGTGTTCTATTGTGCATTTACTATGCAATTTACAACTCTTAACGTTTACCTCTTCAGTTGCACAGAGACCCTCACCTTTGCTCTGGAATCAGAAAGAACTACCACTTAAACCAACGGGAGTTGTATTTAAATGCAGACTTTCATCTTGAAAATACTCTAAATATTTCTTTTAAACCTGAAATTGTAATTAAAATATCCAAACAAAGAGTTCTCTTGAGCCTTCCAGAAAGATGTAGTCTTTGGCTAAAACCCCAATATACCAAATTCAAACCTAAATAAAACACTTCCCCTGCTCCCCTTTCTGTTGGCTCCTGAAAGAATTATGTTTGTAATGGTGTGTTTTAATGACCAACTACTATTCTGAATAATAAAATAAGATAGCATAGTACAGAGAAATGTGCCTCCAAGTCATATACCCGTTGTGCAATGAAACCATTCCTCTGAAGGTGAAATAAGATCACTAAAAGAAATAAACTATTGTCCTGGGTTCAGGCTTAAACCATGACAACTATTTATAGACTGTTGAGGTTTTGATGCTTTTCTAAGAGTTTCTTTACTAGTGTTTCTAAGGAGAAGAGATGCTCATCTACATCCTCTGGTACAAGGTTTCTGATGGAACTGGCAAGTTCAAACAGGTATTCTGTGTTTCTTCCACTAGGACCAACTGCATTCAGAATCTGTTCTGCAATCTCCTCCAGAGGGGCAGGACCAAGGTAGTTAGGGTTGTCACAGGTGCCAATGTAGAGCAGGACATCAAATGGCTTTACTGAGGAGTCTTTGGGGTAGAAAATGACAGTTGTAGTCCTGTAGCCTCCTTTCTCTCTGAAGTCCAAGTATGCCTTCACTTCACATTCTTGTCCAGGTGGCAGTCTGTAAGCAACACCCCATACACATCCCTGTTGCAGGACAGAAGAGGAGAAAATCCAAGCAGGGTTTAAAAGGATACTCAGAAATCAGTGCATTTATATCATTTACATAAAACTCTCTTAAATACATTAATTTTCTTCCATTTTCAGTCCTTTTATAGCTCACACTGTTTCTGGAGAGAGTCCCAAACTAAAAGGGTAATTTACACATTGATCATCCACTTCTTGCTAATCCTTAGGCCCTTCTTACAAAGTAATTTGTTGTGACCATTAAATTTGAAGCAGCAAATAGCCTTGGCACAGGCTACTGAGGTGCTGGCAAAAAGGATACAGATTTTGTCAGGTCAGGAAGATAAATTTGTATCTGAAAATTAAAATTTTAAATAGTGCCAAATTCAAAGGAGTTTTGAACAGACCCTCACACTGTTTAGTTGCAGTTTCATGTCTAAGGACCCGAGTGTCACCTACATCTGTCACATGTATTTGGAGGGGTGAGTGTGGTGATCTTGCTGCACTGAAACTGAATCAGAGAAGAACAAGCTGAGAAATGAACCTTCATTTTGCATAATGAAATGGGGCATACCCAGAACCTCAACAAACAGGTTGAATTTCATGGTTGTCCTTGAGAATCTGAGTATTTCTTTATCCCCTTCATAAATACGTTCTCAGAGGTGTTATCCGACTGTGATATGGGTTAGTTATACTCCCCTAGCAAGTTTTCTATAAATCAGTCAAATCTGTGTAGGAAGAGATGTACGTGGGGGTTTTGTTTTGAAGTAGCATAGAGAAGTGACGATGGTCCGTTATCTACTGACAGCTACATGGTGTTTCTTACCAGTGCTGTTGTACAGTGAATGGTAGCTTGTTTTGTCTGCTGGCAACATCAAATGAGGATTCTTCTGCAGTTAAACTGGTCTGTGTCAGTGCTACAGTAATGATGGCAAAGCAGTTAAGGTGTGTATTTTGTTGTTGCTTTGTTCTGTGGTGTAGCGTTGGGTTTTTTATCCCTACACTGGATTTCAGTATTCAGTCATGATCCTAGACAGTGCTGGGGTGATGGTATTAATTCATGAGTGTTGGATTTTGCACTCAGACCATATACTGGTCAAAGGCAATTTATTAAAAAATAATTAAAAACTCAAGAGTAATTTTCTACACATCTTTTGTAGCTGATGACAGCACTTGATATAATGAGTACACAAATGGGTTCCCTGCTTCCCCTCAGCATCTTGAGATACTGAGGTGCTGGAGCAGGGCCAGAGAAGGGCAATGGAGCTGGTGCAGGGCCTGGAGCACAGGGGTGATGGGGAAGGGCTGAGGGACCTGGGGGGTTCAGATGGAGAAGAGAAGGCTCAGGGGGGACCTGATGGCTGCCTCCAAGTGCCTGACAGGAGGATGGAGCCAGGAGGGGCTGGGCTCTGCTCCCAAGGAACAAGGGATGGGACAAGAGGAACCGGCCTCAAGCTGCACCAGGGCAGGTTTAGATGGAGCTGAGGAACAATTCCTGCCCCAGAGGGTGCTCAGGCATTGGAACAGGCTGCTCAGGGCAGGGCTGCAGGCACCGGCCCTGCAAGTGTTCACACCCTGTGGAGACGAGGCCTCAGTGCCATGGGTTAGGGGTGGCCTTGGCAGTGCTGGGCAATGGTTGGACTGGATGAGCTTAAAGGGCTTTTCCAGCCTGGTTGATTCTGTGACCTGGAATCTGGGTTCCCTCCAGCTGCACACATGAAATGTATTAGTTTGAAAACTAGCCTCTTCTGCGCATTTTATTCTCTTGTGTCAATCTGCCATCCAGACCTGCTTTGGTGCTGACAGGAACGTACATGTGGGTGTGGTGGAGACAGGAATTAAAGCAGGCAAGTGCTGCTAGTTTAGTTTTCAGAACAGGGGATTCCTGTTTCAGGTGATGGGAATTAATAATCCAGAAGATGGACAGGGAACATGATTGTGGTTTTGTGTGTGGTTTCCTCTTGACTGGCAAAGAAATTCGGGTAGAACAAGCAGAATTAACTCTGTAGATGAGATGTTTCCAAGCTGTGCTATGTGTATCACTAGTGGAAAAGGACACAGAGGTTAGCATGGAGCTTTGCCACTGAAAGGACCACTGCTGCTCTTAGTGTGCATGCACAGGGGAGTAACTGCTATAGTCTGCTAAAATACCTTCAGCATAAGGTAGAATGAGTAACTGAAATGAAAGCTAATGAATTGTTGTGTCTTTTGATGTTGATGTGTGAAGGGAGATGATGTGGCCCCACCAGATTCTGGAGAAAAGGACTGAAAACCCAACCAAGCAAAACTGGTTTGCTAAGGGGAAACACATTTCTATGGGAACAAGTAAGTTTGCTTAACAATACCGAGTGACAGCAAACACAACTATTCTTTGTCTCTATAGGTGCCTGTGTAACATAATGGTATCCAGCAACAGGGTGATGTGAAGCCCCTGACTAGAAAGGTACAGAAATACACAGTGAGAGACAGGGCACTGTGTTCTGCTGCTTTTGCTAACTGCAAATAACAGTTGAAGTTTTCAATTGCACTAAACTTACCTCTTGGTGGCTGTTGTGTCAGGGGAATAGGTGGGTAAGGCAGCAAGAGGATTATTGATTATATAGATAAGCAAGTGTAAATCAAAACTTAAATGACTACCAAAATATATGTCTTCCATGTCTTGTGGCCTGGTGTTGTGTGGCCTTGCCCTCTCTCTGCTACTATGCCATCCTTTCTTCCCTCTCATCCGCCCTGGAAGCACTAGTACCTGCAGGGATTCCCTCTCCTGGGGAGGAGTGAGGCTGGAAGGACACAACCATCACAGCCATCCCAGCAAGGGGCCAGAATATAGCGTGAGCCCAGTGGTCAGCTGGAAATGGGAGAGCATCGCATCTGAGGTGTATCCTGCAAGAGCTGCCCCAGGCTCCCCCAGCCTAGCAGAAGGCTTTTGTCCCAGCTGGTGAGCAGTCTAACTGAGGGCTTTCTGGGGGTAAGAGCCCTAGAACTAACCTTAGTGGTTAGCTGTAAGGTTCTGCCTTTACTATCAAACAGAATTAGAAATGGGTAAGATGGATTTCAGTGGATGGAGAGCAGCCCTGAGGGAAAGGATTTGGCAGTGCTGGGTGAGGAGAAGCTCCCCCTAACCCGGCTTCAGTGTGTGCTTGAGCTCAGAACTCCCCATGTGCTGGGCTGCACCCCCAGAGCGTGAGCAGCAGCTCAGGGAGGGGATCCTGCCCCTCTGCAGGGGTTGGAACTGGATGAGCTTTAAGGTCTCTTCCAACACAAACCAGTTTGGGATTCTGTGATTCTATGATCATTGAGAATGGTACACTTAGGCCAGTGACCATTTTCTCTCAATGGGAGCTAATTTCACAGTATTATGTAAAAGCTAACACAGAGTTGTGGTATATAATTCCTTAAGCATATTATCTGTGTAGCAAAACAGTGAAGGAATATCTCCTTTTTTCATCACTGCAGTGTAATCTTGATTTATTTCAGTTGATTTTGGGAAGGCAAAATTACAGTTCTTACAAACATCTAAGGTCTACTATTGGTGTACTGTCAGCACTATACTTACCCTGAAAGTGAAATTCTGCATGTTCCGACTGGACAGCTGAAGTGACTACTCCAGAAAGTGCTCAAATATACCTTTGGTAGTGACAGACCCAGAGTACTTCCAGTTTCTTCATTTGGAATTATTGATTTATTTGAAATGATCAAGAGTCATTGGTGTGACACCAAGAAATTTTGAGGGAACTTCACACTGCACTAAAGATAACTCTGTTATTTGCTTGCAGAGAAGCAAAAATGAATAGAGTCTTGCTACACAGGCTGGAAATGCAACAGGACATTTGGTACACTACAGAGACAGAAGAGGAGTACTGTACCTCAGGATCTTCCACCAGAGTCACAACTCTTCCAGGCTACAATGAAAGAGAGTAATTCAGTTAGAGGCTTTTACCCTAAATCCTGAGCTAAACCAAACCAAGAAACACTGAGGAGTAATGAAAGGGTCAGAGAACTAATCCAGGACCATCTCAGTAAGGTCTGTTCTGTGAGATCCAGTATAAATACTTTCTGAGCATAGCTTTTGATTTGTTTTAGATAAACAGAATGGGAAATTCTGAGTGGAAAGTGGCAGCAACACGGAAGTTAAATTACGGGCAGGCAGAAACAGAAAGGTTTTGAATGGCCTTGCTCTGTGTGTGCTCTCCTCATTCAATTCTATCCCCATTTAAAACAGTGCCAATAATTCATTAATGTAAAACTATCCTTGAGGAGCACATCTATGTGTGTTGCCTCTCCACAGCACTAAGTCATGATTTTACTTTCTGGAGAGACAATGAGGAGAACCTCCTTACTTGTAGTCAAAAAGCTTATGCACATACATGGAGAACAACAACAGAAATCCTGCTAATGCAGAACTAAGCCAGGTATCACCACTTCTGGCCTGGTTCGCACTAACTGGATTCTACAAAGTGTTAATCACACACTATGACACATGGCAACTTCCAGGTTTATGAGCTCCTAGCTACTTAGATGGTTTGAAAACACACAGCAAAGAAACCTGCTAGTAATTCTTAGTAAGCACCAGGTTATTCTAAGTTGAAAAAAGAAGTTTATTGTGCAAAAAGACTATTTTCTCCTTTTCCCCATTCCAGCTCATTCTTCCTGACTGGGCAGAGGGAGGATATCTTGGTAATGGCTTGTTTTGCCAATGAGTTCCTACTTGCTGGAAGAATCCAGTATGCAAATACTGAAAACTGTTGAAATTTGTCGTATAACCTGGAGAATACAGTTTTAAAACATAATACCCTATGGAGAACTACACTTGCAGTTTAAAACCGCTAATCTTGGCATCAGATTTTTTGCAAGTGTACAAATGTCTCTGATTTGAGGCAGGGAAAGCAGAGGTACCAACATTCCATTTTAGTATAGGATGGAAATTCATTTTCTTGGGAGTGACAAAGATGATCTGAATGTGATGCACTTGAATGCCTTTCAGTTAGTCTTGAGTAATTTTGAGTCTCAGGTGACTACATTTCAGTCTTTAAGGCAATTTCACTGCCATGTCCATGCTTTTGTGTTTAGTAAGTCTGTAGTTGGGCTTGTCTCCCTCATATAATCACAGAATAGTACTATAAGCGTGGGGTTTTCTCCTACACAGTTACCAGCTGCAAGCCAAACAGGAAATCTAGGGTTTTTCTTTAGAGAACACTTTTAGATACCACCAACTGTAGATACTACTTATTCAGGTCTTTTATAGCCTTAAAGGCTCTCTATAAGCTCTGAGGTGCTGTGGGTTTTCGCTTTTACGCCAGGTCTCTCCCCACATCAGCCATGTACTCCTGACCTGATTGATAAAATAAGGCAACAAAGCTAAACGAATACTAGATGATTACTATTTGAGTACTCCAAGGAAACAGGTCTGTTACCATGATTAATCACAGTAACTCGGGTGTTCCTTTTTGGAAGCATTTCCATAGCCATCAATACTTCCTTCACATGTGCACTCAAAACTGGTCCCTAAGATCTTGTAAATTGTGGATTAAAGACACGTTCTGGGGTGGGAAGCCAGTTTTTCTTTATTACCAGGAATGATAAAAGTGAAGTACTGGGGTAAACTGGAATAAGATCTTCCACTATTACTGTTCTCAGTGGCACCATAAACTGCTCAGCTACTGAAACGACTAAATATTTACTGATAGGTGAATCCATTGACTTCTGTATCTGGAATAAAAGGAAATTTGACCGTAGAAAGAACTGTAGCTTGACTGCCTCTTCAGGTTGTTTTCAGAAAGGGAGATGTAAGTTTACTAATAAGTAGGAATGTAATAACTGGTTTCTTTAAAAGCACCAGTTTATTTTGCCAAAGGCTGGCCTTTTCTGTGGAGTGACAGGAGCCTCTCTCTGTCCTCTATAGCCCCCTCACAGGCAGCCATCCAAGGTAAAGCAGGGGATCGCAGAGGTGGGAAGGCACCTCTGCAGGTCCTCCAGTCCAACCTCCCTTCTTCCCCCATTCACTTCTAACAAACTAAAAGCCCTTCATTACCTTAAACTGATTTCACCTCGGGTTGATGCGGTAAGGCTATGAGTGCAGATACTCATAGGGTTTCTATCTGGATACATTTGGACAGTGGTAGCAGACAGCTGGAGCTGTGTTCATTATGGCATTGAGTTTCCCTGGGATTTTTCCTAAGCAGGACTGGGAATGCTGCCAGTGTGAGACTCCCAAATGTCAGATGTGCTGTGCAGCCAAGTGAGAGCCGGTGTCAGACCAAGGAGAGAGGCTGAAGCGAGTGGTCTGAGCTGGGAGGGGGGGATTGAGAGGAAGGAAAGCCAATGTCACTGGTCTGGCAGCAGCAAGCTGTTAGTGTGGTTCAGACCACACTGTGATAATAACAGCTGCAACCCTTGAATGCATTCATACTTCCCTGCTCTTGAATGCAAAAGCAAACTCCTTAATGTCTGAGAAAGCTCGTGTGAATCATGCAGGTGTGTGTTTCTGTTGCTGTTTTTTTCTGAAGCTTGCACTAAAAAAAATTGGAATTTGCTATTTATGAAAACATTTTTCTTATTTATTCAGTAAGAAGCCCACAGCATTATTTTGCAGGGAGCACTGGTTTTGCCTGGTAAAACTCAAGCTGCTTTAATGTACTATTCAGAATAATCCTCTGCAAATCTTTTTATTTACATCTAATGCATAAGTTGCTGTATATTCTTTCAAATTCAACATCCTGCAAGCTGTAAAATATGGTCCCATGATTAATTATTCTTTATAACTCATTAACCATCTTATTAGAGTGTGAGTTGAGCAGTTCAAAGTACAATTAGAAGGTCACCCATGTCCTGTGCTACCAGCTTCCAGCCATTGTGCTTGAACGTGCTCTCTGTGGTTTTGTTTGCAGACCCTGGAATGCTGGAGCAGCCAGTGCTTTCAGGAGAGCATTTTAACTTGTTGGCTATTACTTTATTGCTGTTCTTTGAGATGTGTTAAAGTAGGAGTAACAATCCATGGACTGCAGGAATACAAAAGACATTAACTTGTTGATGCTGAGATAAAGTGTATTTTGTTAATGCTAGGTGTTTTATGTAAAACATCAATGCATTAACTGTTTAGATAGTGAGCTGTGTCTTCAGTCTGTCCAAACAAGCACTGAAATACAACAATGTACAGGTGTGCATGTGGGTTTTGTTGTTTTAAGGCCCTGTACACCTGCAGGTGATGGTTCTGGGTTATGATCTTGACCAGAGCAGAAATACAAGTGTCGCAGCTTCTTAAACCAAGTATACTTGTGGGTAGTAACCTGGTGTGGGCATTTTGCAAGGTGCCAAGTATCTGTGCAACAACAGTCACTCTGTGAGTATTATCCTGAATTCTAGCGTGGTCCAGCAGAAAATATCATGGAATCAGAGAACGGTTTGTGTTGAAGGGACCTTAAAGCTCCTCCAGCTCCAACCCCTGCCATGGGCAGGGACCCCTTCCACTGGAGCAGCTTGCTCCAAGCCCCTGTGTCCAACCTGGCCTTGAGCACTGCCAGGGATGGGGCAGCCACAGCTTCTCTGGGCACCCTGTGCCAGCGCCTCAGCACCCTCACAGGGAAGAGCTTCTGCCTAAGAGCTCAGCTCAGTCTCCCCTCAGGCAGGTTCAAGCCATTCCCCTTGGCCTGTCCCTACAGGCCCTTGTCCCAAGCCCCTCTCCAGGTTTCCTTCAGCCCCTTTAGGCACTGGAGCTGCTCTCAGGTATCCCCTTCAGGAGCCTTCTCTTCTCCAGGCTGCCCCAGCCCAGCTCTCTCAGCCTGGCTCCAGAGCAGAGCTGCTCCAGCCCTCGCAGCATCCCCATGGCCTCCTCTGGACCCGCTCCAACAGCTCCACATCCCTCTTGTGCTGCTGCCCCAGAGCTGGACCAGGACTGCAGGTGGAATCCTTACGCCTTTCCTGGACAAGCAGCTCTTTTAAAGCCATATTCCTACTTGAGAGTGAAGCTACCAGGGTGCAGGTTTGATGCCATAGGGAGCATTAGGAAAACACTTCCATGGTACAAACCAGCAGTCAGCGTGTGCCCGTTGTTGCAGAGCTGTGTGGCAGTGGCTGTTCCTATACATTGTGATCAGTTTGCGTTTCTGATCAGTAAATCCTGAGCAGCATCTGCAGCCCTAAAAGCTCTGCCCCATCCTCATTCATCTCCAGTGCTGAGTGCTTCTGTAACCTATTGTGTCTAACGTTTGTTGAGCTCTTTAGAATTACAGAGGAGCCACAGCCCTTCAGTATTAGGAGGGTGGTACAGGCTTTCAATGGGGAGTAAGACTGTCCTCACTCCTGTGGTTTAAAAATAGCTACGTTTACATTAATTTGGGAACACACACTTCTGGAATTCTAGTTTCTTTTTCTTGGTGACTTTCTTCCTATTTCCAAACAGTATTTCTTCCTCCATGAGTTTTCTTTTGAAAGTAGAAAGGCTCAAAACCGGTGAGGTGGTTGCTCAGATCCGCACTTCTGGCCTTTATTTGCTAACTCACCTTTCTGTTCAAAGCCTGACGCCCACACTGAGGTATTCTCCCTTAGTTATTGAGATTAATGTCTATGATAAATAGCTTGGTAAATTTTGAGCTATTAATAGGACTGGTGGTTATTTTTGTTACCATTCTCCTCCTCTTTGAAGTTCATTTTGTTGTTTGTTGGGTTTTTTCAATTGCTAGAACAGAAGAAGGGCATTTTGACAGGGGCCTGTAGGGACAGGCCAAGGGGAATGGCTTGAACCTGCCTGAGGGGAGACTGAGCTGAGCTCTTAGGCAGAAGCTCTTCCCTGTGAGGGTGCTGAGGCGCTGGCACAGGGTGCCCAGAGAAGCTGTGGCTGCCCCATCCCTGGCAGTGCTCAAGGCCAGGTTGGACACAGGGGCTTGGAGCAAGCTGCTCCAGTGGAAGGGGTCCCTGCCCGTGGCAGGGATTGGAGCTGAATGGGCTTTAAGGTCTCTTCCAACCCAAACCAGGCTGGGATCCTATGAAGGAATCCAGTTGTTGAGCTTCAGGAAACACTCCTTGGCACGATGCAGTGGATGATAGATAAATCAGAGTGGGAACACTGCGCCTGTTCCATACAGCAGTCTCCTGGAGCAGCAGGGAGCGGCTGCTGCTCACAAGAGGGATTTAATTCAAGGGTAAAAGCGTGGCCGCGGGAGGAGCGCGGCCGAGGCCCCGCAGCCGCTGCTCCCGGCGCAGGCCGGGGCTCCGCAGCCGCGGACGGGCCGCTGTGCCCTTGCGCAGGGGAGGGAGGAGGTCGGTGTGTCCCGCGGCCCGCCTCACCTTGCCCGGCACGCCGCGGTGGTCCGTGCTGCCCTGCCAGAACCGGCGGCTGTAGCCCAGGATGCGCCCCACCATCTTCTGCTCGTACGGGAAATCCACCTTCCAGATGAGGGAGCCGTACCCAAACACCCACATGGCCGCCCGCCTGCCTGCCCCACTGCCGGGCGGCACGGCACGGCACGGCCCGGGCCTGCGCACTGCCTCCGGGGCGGCCCCCACGAGAGCCGGCTCCTCGCGTTGTGGCTGTTGGCCGGGGGAATACCCCCCCCCCCCCGCCCTCCGAGCTGTGTGCAGGGAGCCACGGGGTACCCGTGGCACCCCCAGAACCGCTGCAGAGCAAACCAGAGCGACCTCATACATGTTCCGTGCTGACAGGAGCCTCTTTCCCCTTTCTTCCTCCCGCAGGGATGGATTTCACGGAAGCCTACTCGGATCGGTGCTCTGCCGTGGGGCTGGCGGCCAGGGAAGGCGACGTTAAAGTGCTGAGGAAGCTCATCAAGCAGGGATACAGCACTGACGTTCCCGATAACAGGGGCTGGGTGCCAGTCCACGAAGCAGCAGCTCGTGGTTCGAGTGAGTGCCTGAAGCTGCTTGTTCGTGCAGGTGAGGAAAAGTTGATGTGAAATAGTGGGGTTTTCTGCTCCATTACACGGCCATTAAAATAAATAGATTTCTTTCACGGTATTCTTAGTTGTTTTGTGAATTTGTATGTGTTTTCCTAGATACTGACTCTATATAGTAAAGAGAAATGGGCACGTTGTAGCTTGTGAGTGACGGTGGATTTTACTCAGCCTTCTCTGCCCAAAGCTGTTATCTGTGTAGGGCCAGCAATAACTGACACTGCTGCTTGGAAGTGGTGATAACAACACGTTTGCGCATGCACTGTAGGCCACAGATCTCAAATAACTGGGTTATGTGAAGAAAATAACTGTGGTTTATACCCCATTGCTAAATACACTCTCATTTTTCTCTTCCATTGCTCTCCTGTAGCTCCATCTGATGACTATGTGAACTCCAAGACGTTTGAAGGGATGTCTGCACTGCACCTTGCAGCACGCCGTGGCTCTGTGGAAAGCATCCGTGTTCTCCTGGAGGCTGGGGCTGACCCCAATGACGTTACCATGGAAAGAACCACCCCCCTGTTCCTAGGTGACACGAGCTTTCTTGGGATCTCAGAACACCCAGTGGGTGGGGAAAAGCTTATTCACTGAGTTTAAACTCACCAGAGTTCACTCACTGCCTCCCAGGCTTTATGTTTTAGTACCTAAATAAAAGGCTTTCGACTCAGAGATGGAGCAGGACTAGGAATTACTTTTCATTTATGGATGATTCTGCTTCAGGCTGCGTGTTCAAACAAAACTATGAAACCAAATTGGCTTTCAGCACCACCACCTCTTTCTTTCTAGCACAGAAAAATAGGATTACACCTGTCTGGGGGTGTTTCAAGTCTTATTTTAACTCCTCCCTAAGTCTTCTGTGAAACACCTCTTATTCTTTCTGCAGTTCCTAGTTTAGCAGTTATAGCAGTTAAAGTCCATTATTACAGGTTTTTTCACTGTGATTTGATGTAAATAATAGCTTAAAACAATTGGCAACAGGTAGCACTTGTGGGGAGTCACCATTAAAAGCACGCTGGATAATGATAATGAACACTATGTATGTAGATTAGACAAGGGCAAAGAACAGTTCTGGGGCTGTTTGTCCAGGAGAGAGTTAAAAAGGACCAGGTTTCTGGTCAGGTTAACGCGGGCTCTGTGGTGGAGCTATGGCACAGCTCTGTGTTGGATGTCGAGTACTACAGGCCAGAGGCGCTGCTTTGGGGAGCAGTGTGTACCACAGGAGAAAGGGAGGAGAGAAGCTTGCTGTTACCCGTGTTAGCACGTGGTAGGTGCGGTTTTCACAGGTCGAACTAAAAGCTCTGCAGTCAAATTTCCATTCTCCATCAGTGCTTTGGGGCTGTAAATGTAAAAGGCAAGGAAGCAAATATTTAAGGTGAGTTTAAAAGAATTCAGTGTCAGGTGAGTTTAAAAGGACTGTGATTATTGTGCAAGGAAGTGAGCAATGAGACCATTTGAGTTTTTTAGGGAGCTCTTGAAATCCATTTAATAGGAATTTCTCGTCCTCTTTTTTTCCCTGTTCCATTCCCAGCTGTTGAAAATGGCAATACAGACTCTGTAACTTTCCTGCTCCAACATGGGGCGAATGTTCAAGGACCTCATTCCTTGTCTGGATGGAATTCTTTGCACCAAGCTTCTTTACAGGTAACCTGTAAGTGTATCATATAATTTCCATGTAACTGATGTATTCTGAGTGATAACTTCTGTATTTCTTGGCCTCTATATAGAGTTGTTTTTCCTAACCTACCCTATAGTCAGAATGGGATCTAAAGGCTGAAGAGCTTGCAGTACACTGAAGTGGAGCTGAAACTGCAGGAGATGCTGATGTTGGGAAGCAGTAATTATTTAAAGCATTACTTAATCAGTGTTGATTAATTAATTAGAAATATTGCATGTAGTCCCAAGCTTACCTGTTGCATTTGGGAAGTGAATCTCTTACAGGATATTTTGACGCAGAGTTCTGTCTAGTATCTCACTGTCAGTGAGATGTGAGACCTGTTTCTGGACCTGTTAATGGCTCTTAAACTTATTGATGAGTGATTCTAATAAATTAATTTCCATTTGTATATAACCTTTAAATGAGCAAGTGTGGAAAAATCAAATGAAACCTGTCTGATTATTTGCCATTAAATTTTTAGTATATCTTTAGAATTTAAGTACATTTCTTCTTTCTGCTAGAATGTGTGGAGAAAAGGAGGTGAAGTCAGTTTCTTGCTGCTTTGTTGTTCAAGAATGCAAATATCTATTTCAGGAATGCACTGAGATCATGCAAATGCTCCTGGAGAAAGGGGCAGACAAGGAATGTAAGGATGACTTTGGAATTACGCCGCTCTTTGTTGCTGCTCAGTACGGAAAGCTGGAGAGTTTACGACTGCTCATATCCCATGGTAATGGTGATCACCCATTTAGCTTCACTGTTCTCAAACTGAAGTCAACTTGTCACCACATTAGTTCTACTCCTGCACTTCAGAACTTCACATTTTGGCATTTTTAAATGTAGTTTTACTTGTTGATGGATGTGCAAAACCATCTTCATTGCTTAAATTTAATATAGTTGTCAGCAAGTGATGATAGGAAATAAGAAATGAAATAATAAATGAAAAGATCAAGGATCATCAAAGGTCTTCTAGAAGCCCTCCATAGTACTACATGAATGGACTGGTTTTGATGACATTGCTCTTATAATAGAATATAGACTCACAGACTCAGCCAGGTTGGAAAAGCCCTTTAAGCTCACCCAGTCCAACCCTTACCCCAGCACTGCCAAGGCCACCCCTAACCCATGGCACTGAGGCCTCGTCTCCATGGGGTGTGAACACTTGCAGGGCCGGTGCCTGCAGCCCTGCCCTGGGCAGCCTGTTCCAATGCCTGAGCACCCTCTGGGGCAGGAATTGTTCCTCAGCTCCATCTAACCCTGCCCTGGTGCAGCTTGAGGCCAGTTCCTCTTGTCCCATCCCTTGTTCCTTGGGAGAAGAGGCAAAGAGAAGATATCTCTCTCTGGGCATGGCGTGACAGCAACAGTTTCATGTAATCACTAAGTTTTATATATGTCCAAGTGCATGTGTCCTTACAACCAAAATGAATTGCCATAACTATTAAGCTTGAGGGAGCCATGACATGACCATGTAAAAAGTTCTGGTGTCCTCAACGTAAAAAGGACATGGAACTGTTGGAACAAGTCCAGAGGAGGCCACGAGGATGCTCAGGGCCTGGAGCACCTCCTGTATGAAGATAGGCTGAGAAAGTTGGGGCTGTTCAGCCTGGAGAAGAGAAGCTGCGTGGAGACCTCAGAGCAGCTTCCAGTGTCTGAAAGGGGGCTATAGGGATGCTGGGGAGGGACTCTGCATTAGGGACTGCAGTGACAGGACAAGGGGTAATGGGTTCAAACTGAAACAGGAGAAGTTTAGACTGGATATAAGGAGGAAGTTCTTTCCTGTGAGGGTGGTGAGGCACTGGAATGGGTTGCCCAGGGAGGTTGTGAATGCTCCATCCCTGGCAGTGCTCAAGGCCAGGTTGGACACGGGGGCTTGGATCAAGCTGCTTCAGTGGAAGGTGTCCCTGCCCATGGCAGGGGTTGAAACTGAATGAGCTTTAAGGTCCTTTCCAACACAAACCATTCCATGTTTCTGTGCTTCCTTAATGCTGAGGGAAACCTCTGATGTTATGAAGTTGCTCTGTGAAAACCAATTCCTTTGTTGTTTATTCTGTGTCCTGCAGAGGTGATTTAAAGTGCTGCCTTTTTCCCTCAGGTGCAGATGTAAACTGTCAAGCCAGGGACAGAGCCACTCCACTGCTGATAGCTGCCCAGGAGGGCCACCTCGAGTGCGTGAGGCTGCTGTTAGCCAGTGGGGCAGACCCAAACCTCTACTGCAATGAGGATAACTGGCAGTTACCTATTCATGCAGCTGCTGAAATGGGCCATGACAAGTAGGTGGTGAAAGGGACATTCAGACAGAAGAGTCTGGTAATAAAAACTTGATAGACAAAGATGAAATTCAGCTTTAAAAGGAAGAAAAACAAGTTCTAGTTGATTTGTAGTTTATAATTCCTAATTGTATTTGAATATTAAATGTCTCTTTGTAGTCGCAGTAAAGTGACCAACTGTATGAAATTCAGCATCTGAGCTGGGTCTGATCCATCTCCTGATGAGCTGAAAGTGGTTTCCACAGTGCTGAACCAATATCAATTCACTCAGTAGTCATTCTAAATTACATCTTAATTACATTAAAATTAATTTAGAAATAGAAATAACAATAGCGTATGACTTATACCTGCCTTGAACAACTGCTAATTGGAATGCTGTTCCTGTTAACTAGCAGAAGTAATCATATGCAAATAAAGAGCTGAACGAGCCAGAAAAGCAAAGGCACAGACCATTTCCTTTATTCCTTCCAGGAATACATTTGTAGCTTTGCCCAGCCCCAGTGATACTTCCACAGCAGAAAGGCAGGAGTGGAAGGAGGTTCCCAGAGTTGGCAGAAGCATCTCTTGGGAACCCCGTGATTTGCACGTGTGCGACAGCACTTCATAGAACCCCAGCCTGGTTTGGGTTGGAAGGGACCTTAAAGCTCCTCCAGCTCCGAGCCCTGCCACAGGCAGGGACCCCTTCCACTGGAGCAGCTTGCTCCAAGCCCCTGTGTCCAACCTGGCCTTGAGCACTGCCAGGGATGGGGCAGCCACAGCTTCTCTGGGCACCCTGTGCCAACACCTCAGCACCCTCACAGGGAGAACTTCTTCCTTATATCCAACTTGAGCTCTCCTATGTGTAAAGTTAAATATATTAATGGTGATAGTAACTGCAGAATTATTTGTAGATGCTTGATTTTAATGCCTGGCAAGAGGAGCTCATCAGTTGAGCTGTCATTAAAGTTTGTGCATCATATGGGTGCCTCTCCTCAAACTGAGGAGGAGGGCAGGCTGTAGTAGACGCTGAGGAAGCTGGGTTTGTCCATTTGCTCAGGAACAGAAGCTGGGTTAGCAAAGTTGCCACTACTAGCAATGTCTTTAAATCAAATGCTGCCTTTGTAGCTTCTGCAACAAGATGTAACTGGCAGCCTCTGAGCAGCGTCACTGAAATCCAGCAGCAAAGGAACTGATGTTTGTCACTAATTCTTGTTAGCTGGGAAGGATGCAGACCAGAGGTGTGAGCTATGAAACAGAACTGTTTAGCTGTTTCAGTATCTCAGCATTGTTGAACAGAAGTAAATACCCATTTTATTTGCAACTACCCCTTCCAGTTTGCTTCCAGGCTTCATAGAAGTCTAGAGTTACTGTGTGGTGGGGCTCTATTGCTGTAAAAAGGATTGTTGGATGATAGGAGATAATCTGTCTCTGCTTTAAAATACCGCCAGCCTAAATCTATGTCAAAGCACAGTTTGTTGTGGGTCTGTGTATGGAATGCTAAGGGTTGTTCTGTAATGGAAACTCAGTGTATAACAAACAGGTAGAACTTTCTTCTTGAGCTGTAATGACCATATGAAAACCAACTGTACATTTAAAATGCATCATTGCTTATGATCACACAATAAATAGTGCTTTTCAATATTTTCAGGATACTAGAGTTACTAATCCCAGTTACTGATCGAATCTGTGACAAAGGCAAAGGCAAAGTGAGCCCTGTGTATTCAGCAGTGTATGGTGGCAATAAGGAATGTTTGGAGATGTTACTCAGAGAAGGCTACAGTCCAGATGCTCAGGAGTGCCTTAGCTTCGATTGCAGGTCACCCATGTGTATGGTCTTCCAAAAGAAGTAAGTACACCTCTTGTAGTTTGAAACTATTTATAATTATATTGGTCTTTATTTAACTTTTATTTCCAGTGTGCCATTTTCCTGCCCTCCTTCCTCAACCCTTAAGCTGACAGCATTAAACTTTGAGTATCTGAATGGTGAGTGAGGTTTGGATTCAGTACCTGAGCTGAAGAACCTTGCTGGAATCACCAAGGGGAAGCTCAGCTCTTGGAGGAACAGTCTTGTAGAACATAACTGCAGTTTTCCTGCTTTCAGAAGGCCTTATCAGCACCTCTCTGTCTCCTGGAAACATGACCTAGTGCTGTAGTTGGATGCAAAGGACTCTTGAGTAGGCAGATGCTTTTTCATAAGGATGAGTGCTTGGAAAATAGGGTTTTCCTTTTCTGTATGCCCACCTTGTGCATAAACCAAGATGAATTAATCAGCTCACCATGCTAGCTGTAAGGAGGACTAGGAACTGAATGACATGTTCTTTTAGATCATGACCCATTTCTTTTTATCCCTGGTGAGGCACAGCCCTGGTGTTGAACAGCAAATAAAGCAATGCTTATTTCATGATGCAAAGGCTGTAATTGTGGAGGAAAACTAAGGTATACAAGCCTTACTCCTCAGTGTATGTATGTGCTGTGCCAGTGAGGTGCTCTGTGTGCCCTTATTGTTGATAATTTTTCCTTTACTACAGAAGTTTCTTCTTCCTTTCTCTGTGGGAAATCTGTTCACGGAGGAGTGAGCTATTGCTGTAACAGATCTAGTTGTTGCTGTCCCCAAGCTCACCCTGTGCTCCTCCCAAACTAACTCAGTATCTAAACTAACATTCCAAGCCTTGATTACTGGCACAGTTGAAAAGCTGGCAACAGAGCTGGTGCAGGGCCTGGAGCACAGAGGTGATGGAAAGGGCTGAGGGACCTGGGGGGTTCAGATGGAGAAGAGAAGGCTCAGGGGGGACCTGATGGCTGCCTCCAACTGCCTGAGAGGAGGATGGAGCCAGGAGGGGCTGGGCTCTGCTCCCAAGGAACAAGGGATGGGACAAGAGGAACCGGCCTCAAGCTGCACCAGGGCAGGTTCAGATGGAGCTGAGGAACAATTCCTGCCCCAGAGGGTGCTCAGGCATTGGAACAGGCTGCCCAGGGCAGGGCTGCAGGCACCGGCCCTGCAAGTGTTCACACCCCGTGGAGACGAGGCCTCAGTGCCATGGGGTAGGGGTGGTCTTGAGCACTGCAGGGATGGAGCAGCCACAGCTTCTCTGGGCACCCTGTGCCAGCGCCTCAGCACCCTCACAGGGAAGAGCTTCTGCCTAAGAGCTCAGCTCAGTCTCCCCTCGGGCAGGTTCAAGCCATTCCCTTTTCTTTGGTTTGGGTGAATTTTTGGTAGAAGAAATTTGCTTTCTCAGAACTAGTGAAATGGTAGATGCTTCCTTAGGGAAAAAAAGTAACAGGCTGTCCTGTCCTTCTGTGCTCTTTGTAGGTATTTCTGTTTCATTGATACTTTCCTGAAATACGGGATCACTTTACTGGGCATTAATCTGGGCTATTGCCTGTACCATGAGAAGTTTGCTTTGTTCCAACGCTTCTTGAAGCTGGGCTGTTTGCTGCCTTCTGGGGACCAGCTCTGGGACTTCCTGAGCTACACAATTCAAGCCCAAGAGGCGTACAAGCAGTGGCTGCCTTATCTGCTCCTGGCTGGTTTTGACCCAGTGAATTTAATGCACAGACTCTGGTAAGCAGATAACGTTATCTTGTTGACTTAACTATTGTATGTTAATCCACAAAGCTGTTGCCAGTGTGTGTTTCATAGGATAGCATTTGATAATCAGTTGCCATGATCAGGAGTGGGGAGGGTTCTGGAAAGTCTGGAATAAATCATTCATGGGTAATGGCTGGATTCAATAGAACACGTTTCTTGTAGGCAGAAAGCCGGAATGGAGGTTGCTTCATCACTGCCATGGGGAAAGCATGATTCCAGGGTTTTATATCAAACATCTCTTCTTAGCCCCCAAATTTAGTTATATAATATGGTGATGGGAAGAAGACTTTCGGATACCAAGGAGGAGGTCAGGAGGGGTGGAAAACAAATGTACAGTGAAGCTGGGCTGAGGCTGAGAGGAAAAGGATGCAGTTAGAGATTGTGGTGAGCAGTCACGGTGCACAAATGCCAGTCTGAGTGTTTGCCATTGGGTGTTTAAGTTTTTCCACATAAAAATAACTTCTTGGCGATGTTTTATGCTTAATCAGACACTACAGAATGAATCTTACACTTAAAATTATGAAGTATTTTCTGGTGTTTTCTTGTCCATGATGATAATGTTGAGACTTTACTACCATGTATCTCTTAGCTATTAACATGATGTGAGGTGTATAAACTCATTACGTGCGTTCCTTAAATTCCTACTGCTTTCATCCAGTTAATTTAAAGGAAATATTTAATTTAAAGGAAATACTAATTTGTATTTCAGCTACTGCTAAGATATTGTGATAGTTTTGAATCCCTTCATTTATGACTTGGTGAGATTCTGTTAATTATTAGCACCTGTGGCTTTCTGACCAGTGATTAAAGGAGCAGATCTACAGCAGGGCATGTCTGTGCTTCTGTACATCAGATTTACTCCTAGCAGTGAGTGTGAAAGTCCAGCCACTGCAAGATTGCAGTTCAGTGACTGAACAGGTATCACTGCCCATGTATATCATGTATGATGTGTTTGATATTTTGGTACTTAATCCACAAACACTTTTAGACCAATTGCTTCCTTTAATTATCCACTTTTTACAATGACACTGCATCATAATCTATAAACCTGCAGGTGTTGTAAGTTTAATATTAACTTATTCTGTCCTGGAGGATAATAGGAGGACAGTAGAAAGCAAATGCCATTTATGGGTATGGTTTCTTAACTGTCTCTGTCACACTGTGCAAAACAGCTGTAGAATCCCAGCCTGGTTTGTGTTGAAGGGACCTTAAAGCTCCTCCAGCTCCAACCCCTGCCACGGGCAGGGACCCCTTCCACTGGAGCAGCTTGCTCCAAGCCCCTCTGTCCAACCTGGCCTTGAGCACTGCCAGGGATGGGGCAGCCACAGCTTCTCTGGGCACCCTGTGCCAGCGCCTCAGCACCCTCACAGGGAAGAATCATAGTCTGCTCAATATAAATATAATCAATCATAATAGTAGAACCAATGATTAACTGCTCAGTGTAGAGGACTGACAGCTTTGATCACCAGGAGAGTAGTGAAATCACCATTCTCTTAAAGCAAGCCAGGCAGGCACATCTCTCCTGCAGGGCTCCAGTGAATATATGAAAATCCAGTCAAATATGAAAAATGAAATCATATAAACTAGAAAGGACACAACATAATGTTGACATGAATCTGCTGTAAAAAAACCCAAATATATTAAAAGGGGTTAGTCTGGTATTTTTGTGTGTTTAGAGCATTTAGATTTCCATTCAGATGAATTGGATTGTACACATCCAGCTGAGGAGCTGTGGCTCTTCATCAGCATGATGTAAACCAGTTGTTTCACCTCCTTTTCCTTAAACCTTCTTGTGTGCTTTATCAATTAAGCTGTTATTAAAAGTCCTTCACACATGCTGAAGGTTTGAAATGTAAAGCATGCTGACTTCTGGATACATAGGAATGCAGTCTCTGGTAGAAGAGTTTGAAATACCTGCGCATCTTGTGGGGCTTTGTTGTCATAAAAAAGTATATCTCAGTAAATGCACATTCCCCCCCCCGCCCCAGTGCAATGGTAATGCTTAGAATGCTCTGGTGTCTGGAGTCCTTATTGACATGTAAGTGGAAAGAGAGTAAGAAATCAGTGCAGAGGAGAATGCTGCCTATTACTGAGGCATTTAAATCTCATAGTACATCTTTTACAGTCTATCTTTTGAAAATAAATGAAGATAAAACTACATTAGTAAATGCTTATGCTGTTACTTGCACTTCTCTTCAGTGGTTTTCTCTTTCTGGGCTTAGGATGGAGGTTGATAAGGATTTGTTAGAAAATGTAAAGCTTTCTATGTGTTGTTTCCATTATTATATTTATGTGATCATGTAAAATGCTGTTTTACGGGGATTTTTGCTATGCAGGACTGTGGGAGAGAATGCCCTTAATTTCACTCTGGAGTTCACCAACTGGAAGAGACTTCCTCCAGCTGTGGAGCAAGACCTCTCAGAATACAAGGAGACCTTCACTTGGACTCCAAAGAGCCACTTTGGTAAGCACAGTGAGGGGAAACCAGTCTGTGTGTCCCAGCTTCCAGGCTGTGAGTGGGAATTGGCTCTGTGTGCTAATGCACCATGGCAAAGGAGGTTTTGTGGGCAACAGACATGGCTTGTCTGGAGACTGGGGAGCGGAAATAGCAGGTTCCCTAAACAAGCAGAACACATTGTCCTCTGTACGTGTTCAATTCATAGTTAGCATGTTTCAGGTAAGCATTGTCATGTTAAGGTATCGTGTCCATTTCAAGTGAATGCATGTGCTATGAATATAGAATATGGGTAGTGACTGAATCATACTGTGCCTTCCTGACATGGGTTGTTCAGCCTCTTAGAAGATTGAAGGGAAATGATCAACATTACTTAGCTGCCTTTCCTGGACAATATCATGGAATCTCAAGCTGGTTTGGGTTGGAAGAGACCTGAACATTCATCCAGCTCCAATCCCTGCCACGGGCAGGGACCCCTTCCACTGGAGCAGCTTGCTCCAAGCCCCTGTGTCCAACCTGGCCTTGAACACTGCCACGGATGGGGCACCCTGTGCTAGTAAATAGATCAACTTGTCCAGTACAGAACTCCGATGCTTCCAAACCCTTGGAGCAAGCTGCTCTAGTGGAAGGTGTCCTGCCCATGGCAGGGGTTTGGAACTGGGTAAGCTTTAAGGTCCCTTCCAACCCAAAATAGGCTGTGATTGTATGATTCTATGATAATATGAAAGTTTGTGTCTGAGCAATGCACATTTACAGACATGTTTGTGTATCTTTCTGGCACAGTGGTTGTCCTAATTTGAGTTATTTAGCAACATATGAGAACGTTTGTCATCATACACAAACTGACTCATGCTGTCATTTAATAACTTACCCTAAAACTGTTTTCCCTGGTGTTATTTTGCTGCTGGATTTGCTCCTAGGCTTAATTTTCCATTTCTTGCAAGGTGGCACAAGCCTCTTTTCCCAGGCAGAGAGCTGTTCAAGGCTGGTTAGATGAAACCTTAAGGATAGAATGATTCCTTGATGCTTTGTTTCTGGAAGTTTAAATTAACACAGCAACTATAGCAACACTCTGAAAATGCTGATCTAGCATCAGCAGCCCTTCTGTAGCCAGAACTCTGCCCTGTTATCTGCCAGGGAGTGGGGGTTCGGATGCAATCCAGGTAACCACAGGTGAACAGCGTGATCCCACAGCATCCTGCTCAGTGTCTGCCCTGGTTCTGATTTTCCAGCCTCCATTCCTCCCCTGTCCCACCTCTGCCGTCTCGAGATCCGGGCCATCCTAAGGAGCGAGCGCCTGCGATCGGACCGCTTTATCCGGGAATTGCCACTGCCAGCTTGCCTCCAGGACTACCTGCTCTACTTGGATGTGCTGCGAGTCAACGGCATCCCAGAAGCAGAGGATTACCTGGGGCAGAGAGAGGAGGGAGCTGCTCCTTCCACTGGAGATGCAGAGAGGAGGGACACTTGTGCCACTGGGACTAGGTGATGGCGCTGCCAGGGACAGAGCTCTGGCTGCAGTTTGTAACGGCAGTTAGCAGGCACTGGAGAAGAGCCACTGTAAATAAAGCAGTAATAACTCTTCCCATGCTGTAGTCTTGTATCTAGAAGGCTGTTAGAAGTTCTAGGATTCACTGGTTTACCAAGTCTGTTGGAGCTTTCTAAGCATGTGAACACTTTCTGGGTTTTGAAAGGAGGATTTGAACTCTTATGGAGTAAAATGGGCTTGTTCAATGAACATGGCTTATAGAGTGCTCAAAATTGGTTTGGTTTATGGAGTAATATTGGCCTGTTAGAATCACAGAACAGTTAGGGTTGGAAAGGACCTTAAGATCATCCAGTTCCAACCCCCCTGCCATGGGCAGGGACACCTCACACTAAACCATGGCACCCAAGGCTCTGTCCAACCTGGCCTTGGACACTGCCAGGGATGGAGCATTCACAACCTCCCTGGGCAACCCATTCCAGTGCCTCAGCACCCTCACAGTAAAGAACTTCTTCCTTATATCCAATCTGTTCAATGAACACAGCTTAGATTGCTTGAAATCTGTTTGGTCAGACAGTGATAGTAGACGCTTTATTCCAGGTACTGTATATGCCAAATGAAACTACCAGAGGTCAAGGAACACGATACTGTTGTTATGGATTTATGGTCTGGGGGGTGATCTGACTGCACCAGAGACAGGAAAATAATACAAGAAAAGACATTGTTTGCTGAAGGAACAGTGATTTTCTTTTTCCTTTCCTTGGTCGTCTCTACTTGGCAGAAGGTCGGAGCGGGAGGCTGGCTCGGAGCCTGCTGCCTGGCACAGCCCATGGGCAAGGCACGGAATGTCCCCACGAGCACACCAACATGACATTACTGTACACAGATCCCTCCTTCCATGAAGTGAGAAGGTAACGGCCCTCCCACAGGGGGTGGCAGGGACACCCTGGTGGACAACAGCTGCATCCCTTGTGCTGGGAAGGAGCCCTCGTCCTGCAGAGGTGAAGCTGGTGCTGCCAGGCTCATTGGTAGTAGATGCAGAAGGCGTGGAGGATGTACAAGAAGGTCGTGATGAAGGCAAATAACTGCATGAGAGGAAGAAGAGCATCAGCTTGGAGAGTCTAACCCCATCTCGATGCTCTCAACCCAGGGAAGCCTCCAACCTAGAGCTCTCTCCATCCTCAAAAGAAGCAGCAAAGCCCCATGTTTCCTACGTTTCTATGGGCTGCTGGACCCTGAGAAGCCCACACTGGCTGCATGACACAGCAGACAGGAGGAGCTGGAGCTCTGACCAGCATGATGGGCTTGGGATGGCTCTGCTGTGGCTTGAGTACTTGCTCTTGCGTCTCCCCCAAGGGAGTCCTGCCTGCCCCAAGGTGTGCTCTGCCCCACTCACCGATGCAGCACTGTTGAGATGGTAGTAAAGGGGTGAGTTGAGGTCAGACTCAGAGCGGATGGTCGCGTTGGCTTGCAGGACAGCAGCGCTCATGTACAGAATGGCTGTGGCACCATGGTACAGACTGTCCTACAAAGCAAGGGAGCAGCGAGGATGAAAGCCTGGGAGCATCCTTCTCCCATCTGCCCTGAGGACAGGCTCGATCCCAGCCCCTCCTTACCAGCACTTTCCAGTTCTCACTGTTTCTGTGCAAGCCAAAGAGGTAGCTCAAGAGCAGCAGCAGGGAGATGAGGGAGGAGGTGAGGGACACGTACATCACCCATCCCTGCAGCAGCGGGAAGGAGACGGAGGTCGCAGCGACGAGGATCCACACCCAGGTCCCACAGAACTGCCAGGGACAAGCACAGGCACCTCCGATGAGCACAGGATGGGGAAGGCCCCTTCTCCTCCCTGAGTCCCTCCTTGCCTCCGTCCTGTGCCAGCCCCAGCAGCTGCTGGAAGCACTTGAGGCAGCATGGACCAGCTTGGAGCATCCCGGCAGGACAGCAGCACCACAAACAGGCATGAGTTTCCATGCACGCTCTTGGGCAATACTTCGGGACATCCCTTACGAAAGGGAAAGGTTTGGTGCTGAGGTCAAGGAGACATCTCCCTGTGAGGGCTTTGGCAGAGAGGCCAAAACAGGGGTTTCTATCTGGGGAAAGCCGGCATCGGCTCAGCCCTGCCCACTCATAAATCTGGGTTGAAATCACAGCACGAGGAGGTCACCTCCAGCCTCCACACAGCCCAGAGGGAGTCACTCGTGCTGGATCCACCTCACGTATTTACAGTGCACACAGAGCACGGGGTTATCTGGAGGAGCTGAGGCTGTGCTGTGGCATTCCAGCTCCCCCGGATGAGACTCCCTGGGATGGGCAGCGGGAGCAGAGCCCACCGGCAGCTGCTGGCAAGGCCCAGTCCCGGCCATGGTGCCTGCAGAGCATGGGGATGTGTCAAAGTACAGCAGCAGTTATCAGCCAGTCCCACCGCCTGCCCTCTGGACCCGTAAGCAATGGAAATAATTATGGAATGCTGCGTGTTTATAGGACACCCCATTGCCTTCAAGGAAAATCTCTATATAGAAAGGCCTGTAGGGACAGGCCAAGGGGAATGGCTTGAACCTGCCCGAGGGGAGACTGAGCTGAGCTCTTAGGCAGAAGCTCTTCCCTGTGAGGGTGCTGAGGCGCTGGCACAGGGTGCCCAGAGAAGCTGTGGCTGCCCCATCCCTGGCAGTGCTCAAGGCCAGGTTGGACACAGGGGCTTGGAGCAAGCTGCTCCAGTGGAAGGGGTCCCTGCCCGTGGCAGGGGTTGGAGCTGGAGGAGCTTTAAGGTCCCTTCCAACCCAAGCCCTTCCATGGTTAATGCTGTCCTTGGGGTTGTTTCAAGGTCTGCTCCCAGCTTTGCAGCCCCTCCATTCCCTGAAGCCATTCTCGTGGTGCTGTCCCGCAGCGGATCCCGCCATACTCACGATCTCGGGCAGGATGAACGCGTAGGGGATGGTTCTGAGGACGGCGGTGCCGGAGGGCAGGGCCGGCTGCGTGGTGGCCGCAGGGGGACCGGCTGAGGCCATGGCTCCTCCGCGGCTGTGCTCACATGTGTCCGCGCCGCTCCCGAGCCGCGCTTTAACCGGCACACCCGCGGGACGTCAGCGCCCAGCCTGCCCGTGCTGGCACCGCGCCGCGGCCCCGGGCCCTCCGGCTGCACCCACACCCCGCTGCCAGCGCCGGGCGGAGCGCGGCCCCAGGCCGGCAGGTCAAGGTCTCAGTGAGCGGGGAAGGAAGCATCAAATCCTAGCCCGGGCTGGGCCGGGCCGTTTCCTGCAGCCGGGCTCTGGCCCTGGCACGCTTTCAGCCCTGGAATGTTTTCGCTTCCACTGGTGGCGCCTCCTCCCCTTTCTGGTCAGGTTTCGGCTCCGTGCTCGCATCAGGCTTCCCCACAGCCACCGCCTTTGAAACCTGCAGCCAGGTCTGAGCCAAACTTAAATACGGAGGATTTAGGTTGGAGATAAAGCTCTTCCCTGTGAGGGTGCTGAGGCGCTGGCACAGGGTGCCCAGAGAAGCTGTGGCTGCCCCATCCCTGGCAGTGCTCAAGGCCAGGCTGGACACAGGGGCTTGGAGCAAGCTGCTCCAGTGGAAGGTGTGAGCTTTAAGGTCTTTTCCAACATTCCATGTTCTATGGAATACTTTTTACAGACAAGTCAGCACATTGGTAAAAGACGGAAGCATTTGCCATGGACTCTGGAGGACAGCTCCTGGCACAGATTCCCTTTGGATTCAACAAGCACGTGCTGTTTCTTGCAGAGGACTCTGCCTCAGCCCCCAGCTCCCCAGTATCTGGTGGGACGAAAGGCTGAAGGTGGCATCTCTGCCTCAGGGCTTGGAGAGGACGGAAGGACTCCAGTAACACTACAGCAGGAGGACAGTATCCCAGTAAGATACCATATCTCTCTGCTAGGAGAGCCAAGTGGTGCCCTAGGAATCGGTTTCTGCACCAAGCTCTTGTGCAATACAGAGCAAAGATTGACTCTGTGACATTCCTGATGGTGCAATCCCCTCCTGGGCTGGGGAAGTGCATCGTGGCATTGCTGGAGGCTCCAGTTCACAAACACTGTCAGTGGGAGCTGGCTTCAGTGTGCTGTGGTCTGGGAAACACCTTAAAGCATTTCACACCCCAGACAAAACTAGTGCCTGGCTCAGAACTAAATCCATGTGAAAAGGAGCCTTTAACATCCTGATCTGCCTTAGGAATACCCTGCAGGTCCTTATCCTGCCTTCCAAAGTCAGCATATGGCAGCCACACACAGGGAAAACATCATACCCTCAGTTCTCAACAGCTTTTATTTGTGTTAGGTGGGTCAGGCACATTCCTATGAATAACCCAGCCTTTTCCTGAATGGGAAGGGAAAACACTAAAACAGTCTAAATATGGAGCAACCTCCTGGCTGCTCATTGGGCAAGGGATGGTGTTTTTTCCCTAACCTGGCTGACCTTGCTCCGCAGCATTCTTCAAGATCCCTGCTGCTTCCCTTGCCTGGTCGCAGCCTGCTGGGGTACCATGACAGAGAAGCTTTTGTTCACCCTGGTTAAACAACACTGAAATGAATTGAAAGCTGCTTGAGGGGAGAAAAGTGGTGCCTCAGCAGTTCATAGAATCACAGAATCAGGGACTGATTTGGGTTGGAAGAGACCTTAAAGCTCCTCCAGCTCCAACCCCTGCCACAGGCAGGGACCCCTTCCACTGGAGCAGCTTGCTCCAAGCCCCTGTGTCCAACCTGGCCTTGAGCACTGCCAGGGATGGGGCAGCCACAGCTTCTCTGGGCACCCTGTCCCAGCACCTCACCATTTGCCCAGCAAAATATGATGCTCAATGTGGACACAACAGGTCCGTGGAGTACCAGCCAACCGCAGCCCTAACACTGCAAGTGTAGGGATTTAAAATGTAATTCCCATCAGTGAAACTGATAAAATAACTTCAATATCTCAAAGTGTTAAATATGTAGAAATATTCATTTCAGAGAGTACAGAGTTTGGTGAGAATTTATTCCTGTTGCTGCTCCATTCTTCCATACCCTGAGCTGCAGTTCTGTTACCCATTCACACACTGGGGTCGTCGTCCCTCACCTCCCCCAGGAAGTCGTAGGCCAGCTGGGAGATGTCGAAGGCTGTGTGAGTGTTCTCTGCTGCCAGCAGGTACTGGAGGGCCCCGTCGTTCTCTCGGCTCTTCTTCAGGAAGTCAGCGATCACCTTCCAGCGCAAGGCCTCGGACTCCTCCTCAGCCCACTTGTAGGGGGGCAGGAGAGTGGAGTGGAGCAGCGGGAACACGGAGTCGTGGTACACCAGCACGAACAGGGACTTGAGAAACTCCCCATCTCTCTGCAGAGAGGAGTGTTTGGAGATGCATCAGTGCAAATACTGCTCCAGAAGTGCTGTCACACACAAGAAAATGGTCAACTCGTCCCCAGTTCTCAGGATTACAACAGGAAGAGGTCTGACCTTCCTAAGCAAACATCACTTAGCTCGGGTGAGCTTCAAACTCCTTCCAGAAGCCCTCCATGCTAGTACAGTAGTGGACTGGTTTTGATGACATTGCTTTTGTAATAGGTTATGGAACTGGAGAACCAACCAGGTTGGAAAAGCCCTTTAAGCTCACCCAGTCCAACCGTTCCCCAGCACTGCCAAGGCCACCACTAACCCATGGCACTGAGGCCTCATCTAGATGGGGTGTGAACGCTTCTGTGGCCCTGCTGCCACGCTGGTGCTGGTACAGGCCAGGATGCTGGTGGCTCTTAGGCTGCTGGGCACAAGCTGCTTATGCTCAGCTCCATCAATCAGCACCCCCAGGTCCTGTTCCGTGGGCAGTTTCCAGCCACTCTTCCCCAAGCAGGCTCTGCAGGCACAGGCTGAGGCTCTTTGCTGTTGCCATGGGGCAGTGCCACATCCTCCCACCTCTGCAGCCCAACCTCTGCTCCCTTCTCCACTGCCCTAGGCAGGGAACTGAAGCAATCCCACACTCCTCACAGCACCCAGCTCTTGGCAGCAGGTGAGGCTGCACCACAAGCACTCGTTTCACTCCATGTGAGGTGAGAATGATGCTCTCCCTTGTAAAGACCAGTTTCAAAACCTAGAGACTAAGAATCAGTTATCCAGCACTGAAAGCTCCCAACTGCTTTAACTGGACAAGATATAACTAGACGAGGTTTGGGTGCCTTGTTTTCCATATGCACACTGGTGTTGTGCAGTTCATATCTCAGCAGGAGATTCAGCAGCGAGAACCATGCAAGGAGGAGTAAGGGTTCACCAGGCAGCAATCCTGCCCTGGGAGTGGCACACAACAAATCAGGTAAAACTGGATGGTTCTGGGCTACCAGGGAGTTACTAATTCTTTGAGCAGATCAGCTTTCATTTGGGATTAATGGCCTTGAAAAAGGGATTCTGACTCAACAGCGTGTTGGTTTGTTTGCATGAACAGGGTGAACTCCTTGTGTAGCTGTTCAGTAGCACACACAGCGAATGGAATCCCTCCTGCTCCCAAGGGACATGCCTTGGATGAAGAGCCAAAGCCTCTCTGGTTCAGTTACCTACAGCTTCTCCTTGTCCAGAGGGCAGGAGGTAGGACAAGGGATGGATAAGCCTGATGACATGGCCAGTCCTCCAACTGTCTGCACCCCAAAATGGGAGATTACAAGAGCCTGATGCAAGGAATGGGCAGGATGTGGGGCCTTTTTCCAGGCAGACTGTGGGTGCTCAGAGGTGGAGGAGGAAAGGTTATTTCGTAGGCATACACAGCCCCTTTTGAGCCACTGGAAAGCTTTTACCAGGCAAGTACTGGAGGCACCATTTGGGTATCCACCTGTAATAGCTCCCCTGCTAACAACCCTATGCAGACACTGGGACAACAACTTGATGCCATATTCCTTCTTCTTCTAGTTTACTACTATAGCTACAAGTAAGAAATATTAAGAACTGCATTTAGGTATTTGTTTTGTAAGTAACTGTATGGTGAGAGGAAAAGGTAACTAGCAATAACACTGACAGAAAGCTCCTAGTCTGATTTAGATTGAATATGTCAGCAAAACCCCTGTAATTTCTTACCTTCTCAGATCTCTTCAGTGTTCTTTCTCTATCTGCCCAAGCACTCTAAAATGAAATGAAGCATTAAATCAGACTTGAGGTTGTGGAGATCTAAAGCAATTCCATTTCTAGCTGCAAAAATCTCTCTTAACTGCAGTCCCCCAGTGGGTGAAGCTCCTGTTGCAGTTCCACTTCCTTCACACTCCCATTCCCCCTTGTGCCATGTTAACTGATATAAGCAGCTATTCCACCACATTGCACAGACACAAGGACTTGGAGATGTGGACATCCTGCCACATCAGATGCAGTTGAACACTATGTGGATAACGTACCCGAAGTGCATCCATCAGGTCTGGCTGATCCATGAGTTGAGGGAAAGTTGCTAGAATAGGATTACAGATTAAATCTGAAACAGCAAACAAACACGTTCAAGTTTAAGGAGGAAATGGGATGACTCTCAAGGTACTGACATATCAAGTTATTCAGCACATTCCCTCCCCTCAGACTGGCTGTAATAGTACTTCAGTGCAGTGGGGAAGGTGGAAGCACTCTCTAACAACTGCATCCCCTGTAGCAAGCTCCCAGTGGCTGAGAGGCAGTTAACTGGGAGAGGAGAGGTACAAACCCAGCTGCTTTATTAGAAGCCAGAGACCTTTCCGGTTTCTCCTAGGGGCAGGCAGAGGTGGTTTTCCTCATTTCCACACCTGTCTTTTTATAAACACCTGGAATTGTGCTGCTTGGCTTGGATGTTGTGAATGAACACACGCGTTCGGCCTTAACCTGCCTTGTCTGGTGCTCCATGTTCATAGAGTCCCAGCATCAGCCAGGCTGGAAAAGACCTTTAAGATCATCAAGTCCATCTCTCCATCAAGAGCCCAGCCCCTCCTGGCTCCATCCTCCTGTCAGGCACTTGTAGGCAGTGATCAGGTCCCCCCTGAGCCTTCTCCAGACTGAACCCCGCAGGTCCCTCAAGCCATTCCCCATCACACTTGTGCTCCCCAAGGGTTTCAGATAACTGGGTAAGGAGCAGCACAGTGCATTGACTGAATGGGGCACATCCCAAATGGCACTGGGCTCCTCATGGGTCTCCAGTTGGAGCTGAGC